TAGGTGACAGGAAACCGGGAGAAGAAACTGAGTTTGTCTGAGACAGCACCTTCCCTTCCACATGTTTGTCTTCAGAAGTCACGTGTAGCCAATAAGGGAGTTAGAAGGCCATGGCTGACATGCCTAGGAGAGGGCAGAGTTAAATCCTGTGTTTAATTTTCAGAGTTAATTTCTTATATTCTCAGTAATATTAGCATTCCTTTCTATGCCTAAGGTAGAGGGGCCCACAGGGCCCATAGGTCACAGTTGGGAAAGATTGTGCTGTATCACTTTTGGATTAACTGACAATTTGTAACAGTGTTTTCCAGAGTGTGGTACGAAATCTGCTGTGTCAGAATCATGGGGTGTGGTTGTGCGGTTTATGAAAAGGTAGATTCCTGAGCCCCACCCCAGATCTATTCTCTACTTGTTGGTGCTGAGGCCCAGGAAGCCTCATTTTAACCGGCGCCCTGGGTGATTCTTGTGTGCACTGGAGTTTAAGAACCACTGTTAGGGGCTCACACTCTAGGAGCAGGCAAACTTACTCATATCACAAAGCCATTGGGTCTTACTTATCATCATTAATGTTGAATAATGCATAAGGATTTAAGTTGAAGTTTTGATAGCACAAAACAGAGAATAGAGTGGCTTACACTGAAAACCAGAAAATTCATTCAAAAATGACCTCGTCTAACAAATTGGATGCAATAAACTAAAGCCAAATGACTTTGCTAAATGACTGGCCTATTTAAACATTACAGGAAAGCTCAAGATGAGTCATAACACAAATACTGATGATAATGTCTTTCATCCTACGCTTGCCCTAGTCCCAGCCAAAATCCAGGAAAGGGGAGAAAATTGCATGAGGGGTGGGGGATGCCCTTTGTTATCTGGCCCTCCACTCCCAGCCCCCAGGGGCACCCAGCGAGCAGCTCTCTGTGCTTCTGCCCAGTATCCTCAGCCTTAGAGAAGCAGGTGTGGTTAGGAGCCAGAGAGAAAGAAAGAGAGTGGGAGCATGTGAGGAGGTGAGGGAAGGAAGAATGAATAGGCAAGGAAAACCCTCAGAGAAGGTATAGCAGGAGAGGAAATCCAAGGGAAAAGCCACAGATGCTGAGAAAAGTGAAGATAAAAATAAAGGAAAAAGTGAGAGAAGCAACTGTGGAAGAGAAGTAGAGGGATTTAGAGCATACATTGTGGAGCCACGTAGATCTAGGGTCAATCCACCCAGAAAAAAGAAACCCTAAAGGTATATAAACCAAAGAAAAAAACTGCAAAATAGGTAAAGCAAAACCTGATAGAACTGAAAGGAGAAATGGGCAGATCCCTAAGATTGAGAACAAGGCAGAGATGTCCCCTCTCACCACTCTTATTCAACATGGAGCTGGAAGTTCTTGCCAGTTCAAAAAGGAAACACAAGGAAATAAAAGGGCATGCCTATTGGACAGGGAGAAATAGACTGTCCCTAAATGCGTTGACATGATTGCCTAAATGGAAAATCCCAAGGAATCTACAACAGCAACAATAACAAGAAAACCTCTTAGAATTAACAATAGTTTAGCAAGGTTGCAAGATACAAGATAAACATACAAAAACCAATTATATATCTATATATTGGCAATTAACATGTGGACACTAAAATTTAAAATCTAATGCTATTTGCAACCACTCAAAACTTTAAAATACCATATAAATTTTACATCTTTCATACTGAAAAACTCAACATAGTACATATGTCAGTTCTCCCCAAGTTGACAGATAGATTCAAAGATTCGATACAATTCCTATCAAAATCCTAGAAGATTTTTTTGGTAAATACAGACAAGACTATTCTAAAATTGATATCGAAATGCAAAGGAACTATACTAGCTAAAGCAATTTTGAAAAAGAGGAATAAAGTGGGAAGAGGTAGTCAGCCCACTTTCAAGACTTATTATATAGTTACTGTAATCAGGACTATGTTCTTGGCAGAGGGACAGCATAGAGAAAGCAGAATATGCCCACATGATTATGTCAGCTGATCTTTGACAAAGGTGCAAAGCAATTCAATGGAGGAAAGATGGCTTTTTCAACAAAGGTGCTGGAACAGTTGGACATCCACTGACAAAACAAAAGAAAACAAGACAAAAATAAAAACAAACAAAACCGCTCAATGTAGGTCACATCTCACAGAAAATTTAACTCAATATGGATCATGGACTTAATTGTAAGATGTAAAACTATGAAACTTTTTTAAAATTAAGAGAAGATTTTAGGGTCTAGGGCTAGGCAAAGAGTAAGACTTAACACCAAAAGCACAGTTCACAAATGAAAAATGTTATAAATTGGACTTCATCAGGATTAAACAATTTTGATCTATGAAAGACCCTATTAAGAGGATGAAAAGATAAGCTACAGAGTGGGAGAAAATATTTGTAAACCACACATTTGACAAAGGACTAATATTAAAGAATTCTCAAAACCCAACAATCTAAAAATAATTCATTTAGAAAATAGGCAAAAGACATGAACAGACATTTCAGAAAAGAGAACATACAGACAACAAATAAGTACATAAAAATGTTCAACATCAGTAGCCATTAGGAAAATGCAAATTAAAACCATAATGAGGTATCATTACACCTCTGTTAGAATGGCTAAAATGAAAAATAGAGACACCACCAAATGCTGACAAGGATGCAAAGAACTGGATCACTCATCACCACAGTGTTGGTGGGAATGAAAAGTGGTACACCCACTCTAGAAAACTGTTTGGCAGTTTCTTTAAAAATTAAACGTGTAATCACCATATAACTAAGCAACTGTACTCTTGGGCATTTGTCCTTGAGAAATTAACCTTCACACAGAAACCTGTACAGAAATGTTCGTAGTAGTTTTATTTATAATGGTCCAAAACTTGAAACAACCCAGATGTCCTTCCATGGGTGAGTGGTTGAACAAACGGTGGTACCTCCAGATCATGGAAATACCACTCACCAATAAAAAGGAATGACCTATTGATATACACAAGGATCTAGATGAATCTCCAGAGAAATATGATGAGAGAAAAAAGCCAGACCTCCAAGATGACATACTATATGAGTCAACTCATATTACATTCGTGAAATTAAAGAAATTATAAAAATGGAGGACAGGCCCAGCCAGTGTGGCTCAGTGGTTGAGTGTTGACCTGTGCACCAAGAGGTCACTGGTTCTATTCCCGGTCGGGGCACATGCCCAGGTTGTGCATTCAGTCCCCAGTGGGGAGCATGCAGGAGGCGGCCAAGAGATGTTCTCTCTCATTGATGTTTCTATCTCCCTCTCTCCCTCTCCCTTCCTCTCCCTCTAAAATCAGTAAAGAAAAAAATTATATAAAAATAAATAAATAAAGATGGAAAACAGAATAGTGGTCGTCAAGGGTTAGAGAGGGGATGAGGGTGGCAGCAAGTGGATGTGACGATAAAAGGACAATTGAAGGATCCATGTGGTTATGAAAATGTCCTGTATCTTGACTATATCAGTGCCAGTACCCAGTGTGTAAAACTGTATGATGGTTTTACAAGATATTATTAGTTGGGGGAAACTAGGTAAAATGTACATGGGATCTGTCTGTGTTATTTATTTTTTATGTGTACCTATGTTTATTGTAGATTTTATTGCTATAAAAGATGTGTAGCACATAATTTACAAATAACAATAAAATATACAGTAGTCTATTGTAAATTCCTAATATAGCCAGTTGATTCCAACAAAGTTTGCCTTGGTTTTTGCTGAACTCTTCCGTGTACTGGCGGCCAACCTGTGGTTTCAATTCAACCATGATTTGACAAATGAAATGGCATCTCTTTTATTTTAAAGGATCACAAGAAAATTAAAATAAAAACAAAGGCAAAAACCAAAACAACGTGTTAGCAGAAAGGAGTAACAGCCCTGAGCGTCTTTATCCTCCTTCCCTGCTTCCGTTTCCAGGCCCGGAGTAGTTCCTGTCAGAAATTTCCTTCCCGGCATTTTTTCTTCATATTCTATTTCACTTCTTTACATTTTATTTTTCAATTACAGCTTACATTCAGCACTTCTGTATTGGTTTCAGGTGTACAGCCCAGCAGGTAGGCAGTCATATTTACAAAGCTTCCCCCTGGTATTTCTAGTACCCACCTGGCACCATGATTGGGACAAACTGTTTATGGCCATACCTCCCTGAAAGCACCGATCTCCCAGTACTATTTCTTACAACTGCATGTTCACCTACAGTTATCTTCTTTTTAAAGTTTATCTGAAGAAAAGCAATATTAGAACTTCACAATCTCTCTGGTGGCTTCTTCACTCTATTTCTTTCTCCAGCTCCCGTTCAGCCATCTGGCAGGAATTAGATTTCAGCCCGTGAGGGTCTCCCCCCTTGCTCAGGTCTGAGGTTCAGGAGCGCGCCCAGGCTTGTGCTTGCTGCCATCTGTGTTGGTGTCCACTCAGAGGAGTCCTCGGCCATCTCCCCCCAGATCACTCCGCACCTCCTCACCGGCAGGTTCTCCCGGCTCCCCCTCTCCGTGGGCTGCAGGCGAATTCAGACGCCTTCTCGGGTCTACTCGCCTGGTGCACCCAGTGGACACTCCTACTCCACAAGCGGGACTTGCGAACTATGCTTAGATATCAGGGACACGGGTCTCCTTTAGTCTAAGGTCTTTCAGCCTATCTGGTGTCCTTTTGTGTCCTCATCCCACCCCAAGTTCACTTGTCAGGTATCCATGGGCATCTGAGTACTCGGCTTCCTTTCTGATTCTCTCCTCTCCCAATCCAACCGTTACCCACCCCAGGGGCAGAGAAGGTGTGTGGGAGTAGATGTCCTCTTCCAAATCTTGTATCTCGGTTCTGTCCCCACTTTCTCTCTCCTTGGTTCAGCACTCTGCTGAGCCTTCCTTCTCCTGAGGGGAGAAGCGAAGAAGCCCTTCAGCGCTGGTCACAGGAACAGGCAGCGTGGAGGGAAACATCCTGTGACCCAGCCTCCATCTTTCTGCCCTGGGCTCACCTTCTCTCCTTGGCTTTCCCCTCAGCTGGTGGCCCAAGTCCTGGAACACAAAGATATAGGCTTTGTGATGGTCGATGCCAAGAAAGAAGCCAAGCTTGCCAAGAAACTAGGTAAGTGTGACTTCATTTTTAGATATCTCAGGAAGAAATAAAGTGTCTTGCAAAAAAAGTATAGTTTCACTTATTCTTGCATGATAACTGAGCTTCATATTTATTTTTATTATGATGATCTTGCATACCCTAGCCTTGGGTTGTAGAGTCTCAAAAAAGCAAACACCGACCTGAATTGAACGGTTTTACCTGAATCATCTAACGTATCTTTGTATCAGTGCAATGAAGAGGATTTCTTCCTGGGGAAACAGACACCAGACATTTAAACCTTTATTTTTAGATGCTAGGGTTAAAAGGCCACTTCTCCATCTTGCTACCATGGTGGTCTCTCAGAGAGAGATCAGACCTCTCCTCTCATCACCTATTATTTCCTTACCTCTTGGCTGAAGCAGCCAACACATACAGCATTTGTGGTGGTGACTCTGGTGTCCCGGTGGTTTCTAAATTAAAGGCTAACCCAGCTGGGCATTAGCACCCGGATGAGAGGGAGGCTTTAGATGAGGTGCACGTGCGAGACTGCACAGTGCGGGCCGTGAACTCTCATTGAAACGTCATGCGCAGGTGCAAGTGCACTTTAGCTTCCTTACACCGCTGATCCCAAGGAGAGAGAAGCCAGGGCCTCCTCTGGTCTCCAAGCACCCCACGCGTGCACGGCCCATCTCGCTTTTTCCGCATGACCAGTGAACACTGGCCATCACGGGAGGATGTGAAACAAGACCTTTAGAGAAAGGTTAATTGGAGTAGGAAGCACGGGGTGGGGATAGGGGGGAGGGATTACTGGTGGTTCAAGAAATACCTTCAGGTATATGAAAGTTCATTATCGCCAAGAATTTCGAACAACTGTTTTCTATTTTATTTTCAAGAAGACCAGCCTTGTTTTTAAAAAAGATTTAAATTGCAGGAGACAGTTCTTTTTTTTTTTTTTTTTTATCCTCACCCGAGGATATTTTTCCTTTTTTTTTTGTACAGATAGAGTGGGAGGGAGAGAGAGGAAGGGAGAGAGAGTGAGAAACATCGATGTGAAGGGACACATCGAGTGGCTGCCACCCGCACGACCAACCAGGGCCGGGGACAAACTGCAACCGAAGTACATCCCCTTAGCGGGAACCGAACCCGGGTCTCTCCGGACCGCAGGCCAATGCTCTAACCGCTGAGCCAAACTGGCCAGGGCGCAGGAGACAGTTCTTAGGTTAGATACAAGAAAGAACTTATGACTATAAAGCGATGATGAATTATTAAGAATGTCTCTCTATCCCTAGAGACAAATTAAGGAATATTTTTCCCCTTGAGCAGGAGAGCAAAGTATGTTACACTCTTCCCTTAGTCAAAAGTAATTTGATGAATTCTTTCTCCTCCCCAGCACCTACTGATTCCCGAGTCTTCTCCCTAGCCACTGTTTTCATGAGACGCTGGATTTCCAGTGACTTTAGTTTGAGGAGAACACAGTGTTCTGGCGATCTGAACATGCAGGGAAGACAAGCTGGGCAAACACGGGCACGGCCTGGTGCACCCTCTCCCCGCGCGGGACGCGGTGGCGCTTGAAAAGCCTCCGTGAGCCTTTCTCCAAGCTCAGCCTGGAGGAATCACTGGAGCAGATTCGTTCTTGGCCACCTGATCCTTGGAGTTTCCAGGACAGTGGTGTTTTGTGAACCTGCTCCTTCATCTCCATCCTCACTTCTCTTGCCCGAGTTTGGTCTCCACCAGTTTGTGCTGAACTGGTGCAATGGCAAAGTCCAGGAGCAGGACATTGGCTGTACTCCCTGCGATACCCTTGTGATCTGTCATTGCCAGATTCAAGGGTACGTGACATACTGCTCCATGGTGTGCCCGGGGACCTTCAGGCGTGCCCCAGGGCACAGCAGGAGGGGCCGGCCTCACTTTCCCTAGAGGTTCCGCAGAGTGCATTTGGAGAAAGCATTCTCCAGCTAACAGAGAGTTCGAAAACAATTCATCTAAGGGAGTAAGGACGCCCCCAGTTGGGCCAAGTGCCAGCCTCGGCTCTTTAGCCTTCCTGCGGGATGCAGTCTTCCAGCAAGTGCTGGTTAACATCACGGAATCGTGCCAGAAGCAGTGGGGGAGGAAGGATGCGGACCCTGCCCTCGCAGCATTCTCGGCTAACTGGGAAGCGAGCATGTGCAGAATCCAGCTGCTCTAGAAAAGTAAGCTGTTTGTTCTGGCCACAAACATGTTTGGGGTACCCAGTGTGTCCAGGCTCCATGTGACGCCCTGAGGTACTAAGATAACAATGGCTCTCCCCTTAGAGAGTCCAGTCATGGTGAGGAGGGCCTGGAGTGGCCTTCTGGGGAAAATGAGTCCTAAGCTGAGACCTGAAGTTGTTGACCAAGATGGTGGAAGGAGGTGGGGGCCACCCCAGACTTGAGAAACAAGGAGGACATAGGTGTAGAGAATCATGCTCTGTAGCTGTTCCCTTATGCACCCTTTTATATCAGCGGTGGGCAGGAAGCAAAGGGAGTTACAGGGACTAGGAGAGCAGTTCTCAGAGGAGAACAGGTCTACCCAAGGGGGCTCTGCCTAAGATTTTGGAAGGACTCGAACGGCAGGCTGAGGAGTTGGAGGGCTGGGCATGACAACTTTTTGATAAGGAGAATGGGGTCATGGGACTCTTGGGAAATTAAAGCAGTGGTGGAGTGGAGAATAGATTTTTCTTTTTAGTTAAAATCCAGGTGGAATGGTTGATTCTTGACTGTTTTGATTTAAATTTCCACGTTGGGAGCACTTCAGAGTTATGGTTTCAAGGGAACCAATCTAGGATTAAGGCTGGTTCCACTCAGTCTGACCCGACCAACAGGATGGTTTTTTCTACATCAGGATGTTCTTGTTCTGGGAACCCTTTCTTCCAGGTTTTACTGAAGAAGGAAGCCTGTACGTCCTTAAGGGTGATCGCACAATTGAGTTTGATGGCGAGTTTGCAGCTGATGTCCTGGTGGAATTTCTCTTGGACGTAAGCATTCACGCACGGTGGCCCTGCATGGAATTGTCTGGGTTCAAATATAGGGGGAAATAAAACCTTAAAATAAGAGCACAGAGCTGGGTAATTGGACTTGGTCTAAGATTTCAGTCTTCACAAAAAATTAAGGAGAGCCTACCTTATTTACTTCTTCTAGGACGCTGGCCCTTAGAGTTGAAGTGCTTTTATTTGTCATCAGAGGGTCACAGATCAGAACTGCGTAGTGGTAACATGCTATTTCTCTTAGCAGTTATAAACCAACATCCCCTGGAATCCCCTTGGCTTTGCTCCAGTGCTTCTGAGCAGGAGGTGGGGCGTGTAAGGAACAGGTGGCTAGTCACCTGAAGACCAGTAGGGAGAGGACTAACAGTCAGCTGAGTTACCCTCAGAGCAGAATAAAAAGGGGCAGGATTAATTGAGCCCCAGTGTTATCCTATCTCTCAGCCATGGAGGTAAACCGCTCTCAGATCCATATGCTCAGGCAAATTTATGTGGTCAAACACTATAAAAATATTTTGCCCATAGGTTAACTCGCGTTCAATAGCAGCTGTGAAGTCAGGTTCAAGCTGCTTTTGGACAGAGCCCTGTACAGAAAAAGAATGTCCATACTGGCGATTCTTTATCTGCCAGACAGCGGTCTCTTGCCTTTTCTCCACACCTCAAAAACCCGGAGAGAGAGTCAGAGTGAGTTGCAGGTCCACCTATGAGAAAGTGCCCGCAGATGCCCATGGGCCTTGCACTGACTGTGAGCCCTAGAAGTGGGGGGCAGCAGCTGAACACCTTGGCCGACATGGCAATGCCCCGATCTATCAGCAAGGCCAGGACTGTTAGACCCTCACAACAGACACCAGCCTCTTGCTGCCTTAAACCATCAGCAACGTGATCGGCCCACACAGATAGAAATCCAGAGTGAGGTCACATTTTAAATCGATCTAATCAGGGCTCTAGCTCTATTTCTCTCCGTAAAGCACAGATAGTGTGTTTTCAGTGTGTTGGCTTTATCCCCAAGCTGACTGTTCCCAAGTTGGTTCTAAGATAAGCCAGCAGCAGGATCTGGTCCATCACATTTCCTCATTAATATTCAATGAAAAGGAGGGGGAAATCTGGCTTCCCATTGTTGCCTTAAAGAGAAAGCAGAACTTTCCTAAAGCTTTTTGGCAAATCTGCCTTGGAGAGTCATTGACCAGAATTGGGTCTCATTCCTGGATCAATAAATGGCAAGAGAATTGGAATTATCCCAGACCCACCAGCCTACCCCTGGAGTTAAGATCAATTCCTAAAAGGTTCAGCTGCTGTACTCATTGGGGGAGAGGGGAGGGATGCTGAGGCCCCAAAGTCCAACTTCCCTCCAAAGCCCTCTGCATATATGCCTGATTCCTGGGAAGGAACCGATTTTGTGTACCTGTGTGTGGCATTTCAGCTAATTGAAGATCCAGTAGAGGTCCTCAACAACAAACTGGAAGTCCAAGCCTTTGAACGCATTGAGGACCACATCAAACTCATTGGCTTTTTCAAGAGCGAGGACTCAGAATGTAAGTCTACCAACCCCAGCTTGTCAGTCAAAAAGCTAGATTCTCAACCAGGTATGTCAGCTTATCCACAGAGGATGGGCCATCGGCATGTCCTGTGCTGGGTCGAAGTCTTCCTTGTACCCTGTGCAATGGGACACCTGCATCGACCATGCACAACAGGCAGGGGAGCTGAAAGAACACTAAGGCTGAGCATGTTCTCTGACCTTGAAGTGGGGGGTGATGCATGTTTTACAGAAGAGGAAAAGGCCCTTCCTCCACTCTCCCACCTGCCCACCCACCAGCTGGATTCTCCCCTAAAATGGGGCAAAGAGTGAGCTGTCTTCCTGCATTGGCAACCCTCGTGGTCACCAGTTGGAGAACTTCTCAGTCACTTGGACAGCATTAGAGGAAAATTGGGGTAGGGCTGGGCTTAGCAGCTGCAGCACAGTGTGGAAAATTGCTGGCCAACCCCACTGACCACCAAGGCCGCCGGCAATAGCTCACCACACCCTTGGGTGTGTTCCCTTTGAAAGCTCCGCGGCCGGCGTTTGGGTGGGCATCAGCACAACCCACACTGGGGTGAGAGGGTAGTGAGTGGGAGTCAGGAAGAACCAGAAAGGGAAGGAACCAACAAGACTAACTACCTGAGTTCCTTTCCTTAAACTGCTCGGGCAGCATGAGCCCAGTGAGCTAAGCCTTTTTCTCCCAGTCTTGGAGAGAGGCAGTGGGCATCAGAACACGAGGGAAGAGCAGATAAGGACTGCTTCTGGCTATTTCTGGAAACTCCAAACTATTTTGAAATTATTTGGGAATCTGTGCCTCTACCCCATCTGCCAACTGGCATCCTTAGTCATCTCAACAACCCACCAATTTTCTCTCCCCCTTGACCCAATTAGATGGTCTCCTCATTTGCTTTGTAAAAGCCTCTATTCACCGTCCTTAAGCTAGTGTGTTGGGGACAGTAGCTAGCCAGGGAGTTTGGCCCCGGTTCTTTTGGTGATTTTATTTCAATTTTCACATTTCTATATAGATGCTGAGCAGTCTGAGGTGCTTCTCATGAGATCAGAGTAGAAGACTAGACCAGGTTCCCTGAAGACAACTACTGTTTGCAAGAGGCTAAGGGTTCAACCCCAGCTTGAAGTACCAACCTGGGATTTACCTTGCCCCGCCCTTTCCCATCTTAGTATGGATGTAGACAGGCTCCCCAAGAGAAGAGGGAGCTCCCCTGGCACAGGCCTAGGCCACGCTTTCCCTCAGGGTAGGAGTTCAGGGAGGTGCTGAGAGGCCCATCAGCATCAAGGGGGGCAGAGAATTCTGGTGGAGCCCACTGCTGCTTTCAATAGACACAAGTGACTTGGCTGTGGCTTTAACCATTCCCCTTTCTATTTTTATTTTTATTTTTTGCATTTATCTTCAGACAGAGCAGGAGGGAGAAAAGGAGGAAGAGAGAGAGAAACATTGATGTGAGAGAGACACATCAAGTGGCTGCCACCCACATGACCCCAACTGGGGCCAGGGACAAACTGCAACCGAGGTACATGCCCTTAGCGGGAACCGAACCCAAGTCTTTCTTGTCCGCGGGCCGATGCTCTAACTGCTGAGCCAAACTGGCCAGGGCAACCATTACCCTTTCTTTACTTTCCCAGTTCCCTCTACTCATTCTCCAAGTCTCCCCCCATCTTCTCCCCTTCCAGTCCATCCTCTACCCCACAATATGACATATTTTGTGACAGCCCAGTCACTGTGATGAAGATGAGTTTGTGTGAATGTGGACGGGTTTCGTGTACATTTTTTGATGCCTCTCTCATCTGTGCTTAATGTGCTTTCCTCTAACAGTGGTTCTCAACCCTTTAATACAGTTCCTCACGTTGTATGTGGGCGTATCTGCATGTGGGCAGACCCTCCTGGACAGGATAGAGGAGCGATGTCTCAGATTCTAAGACCATCGGAAATACGTGTTTTCCGATGGTCTTAGGCAACCCCTGTGAAAGGGTCGTTGGACCCCCAAAGAGGTCGTGACCCACAGGTTGAGAACCGCTGTGAGTCTAGAGGTTCAAGCAACTTACACACTGCACCGTGATTCTTTAAGGTCCATAACCCTCCCTGGGCTGTGAGCCTTTGATCAATCGTTGTCCTGATCTTACTCATCTGGGTGTCTGTCCCCTGAGCCAGCATTACTCTTGAAATGTTTTTGATTGAATACTAGAAAATTCTGCATGCGCCTGGGATTCTAGCAAAAGCATATGCCTCTGATGATGAAGGGATATAGAATCCCATGAAATGGAAAAACTTAATCTTGTTAAGAATGAATCACAGGCCCTGGCTGATTTGGCTTAGTGGTTAGAGCATTGGTCCGTGGACCAATAAGTCACAGGTTCAATTCCGGTCAAGGGCACACACCTTGATTGCCGTTTGTCTCAAACCCTGGTTGGGGTCATGTGGGAGGCAACCAGTCGATGTGTCCCTCTCATGTTGATATTTCTCCCTCTTCTGTTCTCTCCCTCCCTCCCACTCTATCTGAAGATAAATACAAAAATGTCCTTGGGTGAGGATTGGGGGGAAAAAAAATGAAAGAATCATAGGATCATTGGCTTGCAGGATTATGGAACTTTGTAGAACAGCCAGCACCAGCACCAGCACCAGCACCAGCACCATTACCATCACCTCACATCTAAGGCCTGAATGCAAATGTCTTTACCAAATAGCTGTCGAGGGTATGCAGCCCCGCATGGCCACACCCGTGGGCCTCACGCCTCCTTCACCAGTCAGGCAAGATCTTGATTAATTTTAAGGGAACAGAATGAAAAAGGAAAACTCCTTAGGGAAATTGTGGATTTAAATAGTGCTATATAATTATCTATCTAAATAATATCTACTCAATAATTATCCAATTAGGACTAATGGCTTCCCACTCTCTGCATTACTTAAGAGAAAGTGCAGTGCCCGTCTTAGAATGCCTCTCCCCTCTGGATTTTCGTCTAGATTACAAGGCTTTTGAAGAGGCAGCTGAACACTTCCAGCCTTATATCAAATTTTTTGCTACCTTCGACAAAGGGGTAAGTACCTAAGACACCCCAGTTAGAACTCTTCCATAGACACAAAGTATTAACGTTTGAACTTTCCACCTCTTTTCTCTTCGCAACGTTAACCACCTCCACACACTAACACTTTCTCCAGAAGTGTTAGCAGTATGGCAGTAAATCACTACTGAATGAGAAAGGAGTGCAAAGATGTTTAATTCAGAAGCTGTAAGGGGACTGCTGGAAACATGCAATGGAAAGTGATGAAGCAACCCCTGATTCTCACCTTCAGCACTAATGGAGTGTGTGAGCCCAGTGTGTGCGAGACACTAACCACTGCTTCATTCTTTTTCCCGCCATGCTCTCCCTCCCTGGGTGGCTCACTGCCCTCTTCTCGTAGGATGAGGCGGGGCTTGGGGGTGGAAGGGCGTAGGGCATTGACCTCTGGGGCCCTGCGTGCTTCAGAAAGTTATCTATGTCTTCAGGAGATGTCATTGACGTACTTGTCTGTAATTCAACTGCTCTTTATTTTTTGGATGTGTAAAGTGCTTTATAAGCCAAAGGACAGCAGAGCTGGAGGGACCTGGAATCAATGGGTACTTTATTTGGGGTCTACTGTGGTTGGAGTACTCTACCTGGGCTCCAGGGACTACTAACATTGCTACTATTTATCCAGGTTTTCTGCGTGTTGGGCACAATTTGATATATTACACTAATACAGTTTCTAGTTCTTTACACAACTTCGAAAGTGAGAACCCCCACTTTCCAGATGAGAAAAAAAAATTAGAAAGGTTAGGTAATATCCAAGGTGTCCAGTGAATTTATGGTAGAGCTGAGATCCCAATTTAGGACAATCTGTGCTCAAAATCCATGTTCTTTCCTCCATCCCACACCACTAAGTAGAAGACTCTAATCGACCCTTGAGATTCAAGGTGCACACTCACACACCCATACTCACATAACACACACACATATAGCCCACACAACATACATACATAACATACTTAAAACATACCCAACACATAGGTAATGCATACACATACACAGACAACATACACACTACACAACACACAAACCTAACACACCTCCTCATACACACCCACACACATAGAACACCCCCAATACACACACACTTAGAGCACTTGAAGTATTCTGTGAAAACAAGGACGGCTGTAGATGCTACAGCAGAGAAAGCAGGATGAGAAGAGATTGCATCCAATTCATACGCATACTGAACCACTTCTGTGGATATGGCCCCGTCCACAGGCCTGTCATCCAGAAGAGAGGTCCCTAATCTATTATATGATCTAAAGTTGAAGAATGTTTACCCTCATTGGTTGAATTAGAGTTGGGAAAGATCTTGAGCAAGAATACCAAAAAGAATAATAATTATCATTCATTACGTATTTTTATGTGCCAGGCTGGGTGCTAAGAGCTTTATGTAGGTTTTCTCATTTCATCTTCTCAACAGAGGGTTTAGTATTCTCAGTCCAGAGAGGATGACACCGAGGTTCCAAGAGATTAAGTGATCTGCTCACGGTCACATAGTGAGCGCTGAAGCTTGTGTGAGCGCGGGTCACCTGACTCAGTCAATGCTCTGCCCCGGGCCACCCCAGAGGAAGAAACCCGCAGCGCACAGAGAGCCCTGGGCAGGTGGGCGGCTGTGAGCACTGCTGCTATGAAGGCGGTCATTAGGCCCGGGGGCGGGGGCGGGGAGGGTAGGGGTAGAGCAGGGGGTGCAGAGAAGCTGAAACTGAGTCCATCGCTGACGTCTAGTTACGATCGGTCAGAAGTGACCGTGGTGACTCCTGGGTCAGAGAGAGTCAGGCTTGGCCAAGCAACAGAGCCTCGGTTCTTAGAAGGGTGGCTCAGTGCAGCGTTCAGGGTGCGGTCGGTTTTCAGATGTGCCTCCCGGTCCAACCACATGGCTTCGCATCTGTGGCCCATGGAGAAGGTGAGGTCAGACTATAATTAAAAACTCAGAAGCCTCTTCACTAAAAGCTCTATAAGACCTGAGTCATAAGTGCCACTGTTCATGAAGCATTGTGGGATTTCATAACATTAAGAAACAGAAAGCTGCCCTGACCGGTTTGCTCAGCGGTTAGAGCGTCGACCTGCGGTCCAGAGAGTCCCGGGTTCAGTTCCCACTAAGGGCACGTACCTCGGTTGCAGTTTGTCCCCGGCCCTGGTTGGGTAGTGCGGGTGGCGACCACTCGATGTATCCCTTTCACGTCAATGTTTCTCTCTCTCTCTCTCCCCCTCCCACTCTATCTGAAGAACAAAAAAAAAGGAAAAATGTCCTCGGATGAGGATAAAAAAAAGAGAGAGAGAGAGAAAGCTAAACACTCTCTACCTCTGAGTGGAACAGAGAGAAGAGCCATCACACAGAGAACTCAGTGCCACCTGGGACTCAAGCACTTGCACCATCAGTGCAGGGTGTGGGTGACAGTGCCCAGTGAAGATGGTGGCGTCCAGAGGGCACGGTTGCACCCATCACGTCTCTCAGGACGACACACAATTTAAACTTATAAACTGTTTATTTCTGGAATTTTCCTTTTAGTATTTTCAGACTGTGGCCGATTGCAGGTAACTGAAACCGCAGGTAACGGAGCCGTGGGTATCTGAGACTGGATGAGGGGCTGTCGATGAGCTGGGCAGAGGTCAAGAGGGTGAGACGTCAGGGCTGCCGATACAGACTTGAGAGTTAGTAGTTTCCAAACACCCTCCGTATTGGTATCACCCAAGGAGCTTTTTAAACTATGAATTCCTGGGCCCCAGTCCTGGAAACTTAAATTTTATTTTTTAGGATTTTGACAGGGCCCAGGAATTTGCATCTTTAAAGAAGCTCCCAGGGGATTTTACCTGGCACATCAGTTTGGGACCAGACACAATCTGTGGATCCTGATCCTAACTCAAGCCCACAGCAAGAGAGGGTCCGAGGGCTAAGGATGGCGTCCTCTCTACTGAACCTTACAGCCTGAACTGTGTCACTTCTAATTGCCCCCATGTGACCGCCCACCGACCTGTTCTTTCTTGGAGTGAACAGTGAGAAGCAAATCATTTTTTGAACCATATTGGGACCAGAAGAAGCAGTGAGTCTCTCAACAAAGCTGATGGAGAAGGTAGACATTGCCAAGGCCTAAATCCCTGACCGAAATGGCTCGCTATCGTGCAGAAGCACATCTGCATCCAAATTCAGACACCTGCAAATCCAAAAAGTGGCCACTGTGCTTTGTAGTTTTCCTGTTTTCAGCAGAATCTATTCCAATTATTTTTTAAAGGCATAAAAGACCTTATTATATGAACCTGTTAGGCTTTAAGTAGTAAAAATCCATTCTTTTATCATTGTGCCCGCCCGTGAACCAGGATCGCAGACAGTGCCTTGGCGACAGTCAGCCCCATTGAATATTTATTGAATAAATGCCTCAGATGAATCAATGCCTCAATCAATCAAATCTCCTTCAGTCCTTACTACCCAAAATACAAACAAAGGAGTGAAAAAAGGGATTCTCTGAGACACCGGATGAGAGCACCCTGTGGGGGTGGTGGGGACGTAGTGAACAGGTGAAAAGTTTGCTCAGCAACCCCCAGAATGAAACTAAAGAACGTCGGAATCCAACCTGACATGCATGGTCTTCACACTGCACACCTGGACACTCGCTTCCAAGGACCAGAGACCCCTCACACACACACACACTTGCACACTCATACTGGTGGGTGCACCCGGAGCCTCTGACAAGCCCCTTCTTGCCTTCAGGAAGCCTGAACACTAGCAGACTGACGGGGTGAATGGATGAGGAACAGGAAACACCTCACCAAACACGTGCAGCGCCAGTGGAACGCCTGCAGGGACACACAGCTCTCTTCACAGCGTCAAGGAGGAGGCGACCTAGTGACAGTCGGTGTGCTGCAAACTGCATTTGAATTACGGCTCCATCCCCTCTGGGTAGATGACCTTGACAAACTGCACACTCACACCGCGCCTCGGGCTTGTCGTTTGTAAAATCAGTATGACACTGGCTTTCGCCAACACAATCAAAGTGAGGATTCATGGAGGAATCCACCCGAAACGCTTTCTAGCAGTGCCTGGCGCATAGCACTCCACGTGCTCGCTATTGTTACTTTGTTCTTCACCTGTCACCTCCCACTTCGTGTCATCAGTGTCCTGTCTTAACTAAGTAGTAAGAACCCAGAGGGCCAGAGTGAATGCCACTTTCACGCCAGCTTTGTGAAGAACTGTGTGTAAGCCCAAACTGTTGGACAGTTGCTATTTGCCCTGCCCTCTGGCTCCCCACCCATGACCCAAGCCACCCTCTCCCCGCCCCTGGAAGAGGGAACAGCGTAAGAGAAAGACCCGTACCCCCCAGTCCTTTAAAACAAAAGGAACAGGACTGTAGAATTTCCTTCCACTGACTGGATCTTAACATGGCCTGCTTTCTTTGGCTCTGAGTCAAATGCCAGAATTTCTTTGTTAAGTACTAAAAGAAATGTCCTTTGGAATAGAGTGACCTGGAATGAATAGCAGTTGAGGACAAAAACCATAAGGATAGCAGTGTTTCCTCAGAATGGACCGCCTTGTGTGACGGCTTATGTAACCCTCAGTTCTTCCCCCTCCCCAGTCTGTCCGCCTGCCCCGGGCCACTGAGCTGTGGGTTATCAGGCAGGATGGCAGCCCTCAGGCAATTCCTCTCCAGTTTCAAGGGAACCACTGTTCATGCCGGTGCCTTCTTGGACCACAGCTCTGAACTAGAAAAGAATGGCGTTTGCTTTTCCCCCAGCGTGGCGCATTCCAGGCCTCTCGCATCATTTCACAGAAGAGGTTCTGAGTCCAGCAGGTCTGCAGGCGAACACAGCACCATTCTGCCTGGCCAGAGTGTGTGGCCACGACATCAAGACGGGAGATGCCTTCTAGGCTGCATCGCTGCCTGAGCTTTTCCTTTGGTTCAGGGAGGACAACTCAACCTGACTTGCTGGGTGCTGTCCAGTCTCAGCACTGAGAGTCTAAATCCAGGGAAACCCCTCCCCTCCGGACAAACCCGGATGTCTGGCCACCTTCCAGCTGGTAACCAAGTGGGCAGTTCTCAGAGTCTGAAAAACCACTACACAAGTCCAGGTTGAGCGACAACCCTAGGGCCATGCTTCAACCTAAGTAACAAGTAGAGTTTATGAGCTGATCAAGGATGAATGGGTTGACCTCTGATTTTGAGTACCTACATGCTTTGAATGGTTCCCATCAATTGCCTGTTCTATCCAAATTTATTCCGTTAAATCCATCCATCCAAGCACCCTGAGCATCTCTGTTGACCTTTGTTCCTCCTCCAGCCTCGCAAATTCAGTGGCACAATGATGATTGTAGAACTAGATTTCCCTCTTTTCATTCCATCTGCTCCCTGCCCCTACTTGGACCTCATTGGCCAGAGAGGTTCTTTCCTCCCTATCTGTCCTTCTCTGATTGGTCTAGCCAGGCCTTAGGTGACGAGTTCCTATCACTACGACATTTAAGTTAAAACTGTATATACACTCTCAGGTCTTTGCCGGAGAATACACACGCCTTATAGACCAACCACCACTGCTACTCTAGACTAGCATTCAAGGAAACTATTGTCATATTTCTTTTTTTTTTTTAATTTTTCTATCTTTATTGATTTTAGAGAGAGAGGAAGGAAGAGGGAGAGGGAGATAGAAACATCGATGAAAGAGAACATCGATTGGCTGCCTCCTGCATGACCCCCACTGGGAACGGGCCCACAACCTGGGCATATGCCCTAACCGGGAATCAAACCAGTGACCTCTTGGTGCGTGGGTTGACACTTAATCACTGAGCCACACCGGCCGGGCACTATTGTCATATTTCTAATTGTTACAGGTTGCGAAGAAATTGTCCTTGAAGATGAACGAGGTTGACTTCTATGAGCCGTTTATGGACGAGCCCATTGCCATCCCCGACAAGCCGTACACAGAAGAAGAGCTCGTGGAGTTTGTAAAGGAGCACCAGAGGTACCCCAGATGCACGCAGGGTTGGGGGGCCCAGGGTTCGGGAAATGGAGAAGACATCTCAGTCCTGACATTTCAGACCCCCAAGAGCAACAACCTGGATTAGCCCCCCAGGACAGAACTCAGTCGAATGGCTTTGTTGGTCATGGATCAGTGGCAGGGATGTTGCTACATTTTCTGAATATGAGTCTGTCTGCACTTGCAGACAGGGTTCGACCCCCGCCCCTCAGTCAGAAAATCCCCTCAAAGTCAGAGTAAGAGATAAGTCTAATTCTACAATAATAGCAGTCGTGATTTAGGGACAGCCTCCTATATGCCAAGTACCATGGAAGGTGCTTATGGGAGCTATTTTATTTAACACAGGTGTGGGCTAACGTAGGTTTACAGTTGTAAGCATGTGAAACACGGCGTTTATTTTTGTATTATTTATTAATTATTGTATTATTTATTTTCATTACAACTGTACTACTTTTGCTAACCCCTGTATTCAACATAATGGGGTAATTATTATTATCCCAATTTTACAGAGCAGAGAATTGGGCTCAGAGTAGTTAAGTAACTTAGCCAAGATAAACATTCTTTCTCTCAGAATTCTGGGAGAGCAATACTGGGCCCACTTAGAGGAGCTCACGCACGGGCCGGCCGACTTTCTCTGTAAAGGGCTAGAGAGTGAAGATTCTGGGCTCTGTGGGCCAGATGATCTCTGTTGCAACACTCAACGCTGCTGTTTCTGTGTGAAAGCAGCCGCAGACAAAATCTAAACAACTGGGTGTGGCCATGTCCCCCAAAAGTTTATTTATAAAAACAGGAGGCACTGGCTGGATTTGGCCCACTAGCTGTTGTTCCCTGAGCCCTGCTCCTGAGGAAAGGACAACACGGAACATGGAAATGGGGGTGGGTTCACCGTCTCGCCCCACCCCCTCACACACGCTCATGGGACCTGGAGCATGACTCCATCAGTCAGCCCTGGTCCCTACAGGGAGGCAGTACTTGGAGAAGCAAATATCAGCATGTCTAGCCTGTTTGCCAACATTCAGAAAGAAATGAAACCATGAGCAAAATATAGATCCTACCTGCTCTTCCAAACATCCCTGAAGGGCTTTTGATGAGTGACCCTAATGATGGAACAAAATCAGGACTTCCTCCTTTCTGTCCCAGGTGTCCTCATTCTGGGTCTTCTCTGGGCTCTCAGGAGTGGCATCTGTCTGGGAGGACGGGGATGACCTCTTGCCCCGGGAATGAGCTGACCCTGCACCCTCTGACCCATTGTTGATAAGAGACTTTATATCCTCGGGTCCAGTGGGTCTGTGGAAAGGCCGAGAGCTTCAGGCCCAGCTCTCCGTGTGACACCGAGGGCGTGGGGTAGTGTGGGGTCTCGGTGTCTGCCATGGGAAGCCCTACTCAAGGAAGCTCATCTTTCTTTTTTTCAGACCCACCCTACGCCGCCTGCGCCCAGAAGATATGTTTGAAACATGGGTAAGAAAGTGGCAAACTCTTTCTGCCTTGTAGAGACTGGCATATTCCCAAAAAGGAATACCCCTTGGAGTTCCAAAACTCAAACCAGGTTTTTCTTGGCTGGAGCAGGTATCTGGGTGGTAGAGTATTTGAAATGTGGACAACAGCGCACTCAATCACAACCCAATTTTCTTGGTTCCAGTTTATGCCTCTCTGGTACCACCCACTGGCTAAATTACTCTGTCCCTGAGTTCATTTCCCATGGCAACTACTGGCTTCTGTTTGCTGGCCACCAGAGGCCCAGGGTAACACAGTGGAAGGCACTCAGGCTCTGGAGTCAGAGGCTTGAGTTCAAGTCTAGAATCCGATACCTGGTAGCTTTGCATCCTACGTCAAGTCATGTGACCTTTCTGAGCTTTAGTTTCTGCATCTGAAACGTAGAGCCTCTGGTAAGGATGAATGGTGTGAAGAGCCCAGAACTCGGTGGGCGCTTGATAAATGAATGGTAGCTGTTTTTAGAAATATCAACTCAAGGCACTGGGAAGCGCTGAGTCAGATTATCCTCTAGGTCTAAGTCCCAGACTATATGTCATGCGGGTCAAGCAGTGTGAGTAAGACGGTCATGGAGATGCAACCTCCCACCCACCTCAAATTTGTACAGAATTTGTAAACAATAACAAGCAAAGTCTGTGGAGGATTTTCCAAAGCATTTTGTGCATCCTGTCACTTGGCTCTTTCAGCAATTCTAGAAAGTGATGAAGAGCAAGTATTATTTTAGCCCCATTTTATATGAGGAAATTGATCATATGGGTTGGTAATTACTCAAGAACACATAACTGATCAGCACTAGATCTTGGGACGTAAATTTGATAATCTGGAATCAAATCTCATGTTCTCTCCAGTATCCCCTTGAATGGGCCATGTCCCCACAAGTCACCATTTTGGCCGTGGGGGTGGGAGGGGCAAGGGATTGACATGGAAGCGTGTGTTTATTTATTTATTTGTCTAATCTTTAATTCAGAGTTTAAAGTGACAGGTGAAGAAAACCGTGACTCTCTGTTTTACTGGCATGTAACTCATTTGCATGTTTGCACAGAGAACGTGTCATGAGGGTGAACAATTCTGTGCGTAGGGGCAGACTGCCCAACAGCAACACAACACAGAAACGTGTTCCTAACATTCACACTTTCAGGAATTTAACCATTAACATGTTTTTGTTATTAGTTTTAAATGCTGTGACAGTGCTTTAAAAATAATACTCCTTTAGCCCTGGCCGGTTTGGCTCAGCGGTTAGAGCGTCAGCCTATGGTCCAGAGAGACCTGGGTTTGGTTCCCGCTAAGGGCACATATCTCAGTTGCAGTTTGTCCCCGGCCCTGGTTGGGTCGTGCAGGTGGCAGCAACTCGACGTGTCCCTTTCACATCGATGTTTCTCTCTCTCTCTCTCTCTCTCTCTCTCTCTCTCTCTCTCTCTCTCTCCTCCCACTCTATCTGAACAAAAAAAAAAAAAAGGAAAAATGTCCTCGGGTGAGGATAAAATAATAATAATAATAATAATAATCCTTTATACTTACAATAGTGTCAGACTTATAAAAAAAATAGTACAAAGAATTCCATGATCTCTTTCCCCAGATTCATTGAGTATTAACATTTTACCACTTTTACTTCATCTGCTTTCTTGATAGATGATAGATAGATAGATGGATGGACAGATAGACAGACAGATGATAGATCTTTTTTCTGAACTGTTTGAGAGTAAGTAGGAGACACAATTCCCTTTTACCTTTAAATATTTCAGATGTTTTCTAAAACAGGACTTTCTGTTATATAACTATAGTACACTTATCAAAATCAGGAAGTTAATACAATTCTATTACTTTATCTATGGACCTTGTTCAAGTTGACTAGTTGTCCATCATGTGATCCAACCCTGGGTCACACACTTGCATTTGGTTGTTGTGTTTCTTCAGCGGCCTTTGGTCCGGAGTAGGTTATTGGTCTTCCTTTGTCTTTGATGACACAAGGCACCATTTAAATTGAAAGTGTTCTGCTATGCCTTTGTCCTTAGGTTTTCTTTTTATCTTCTTCATCTCTGATAGACAATCTCAATCATCTAGGCTCCTGGGAGGGAGAAACTACAAAACTGTTGCCCTCTTTTGTTCAGGCCCTTTCTCACTGAGACTGCAGTCTCACCCCGAGACCACCGCCTTCCACATCGGGGAGCCTGTGCCCCGCCCCGACCTCACACACCCGAACCCCGCAGCGCCACCTCGGAGCTGGACGCTCAGAAAGCACGTTCGCCGTCTGGCTTCATTGCAACTCACTCTTTGCTTTCTTTTACTTAATGAATAAGATAAGGCACAGCCTTTTGCTATAATATAAAATAACAGTGATGGCTCATACTTTCTATGTTATATATTCAATTGCTTTCTGATTAGGAAGGGCTGTGTGTTCAATTTAACCCGACAGAGGAAAGGGCATTCGACTGGCTTGCTCGTTTCCAGCATCGCGGAACACTGACATGACTTCCCCAGGAGCCTCAAGCAGACCGCGCCCGCCCCTCATCCAAGACTTCACCTAGGGAGGGAGGGCAGGACAGTCCTCCAGCATCATGGCGCATCCTAAGAGCAGAAGCAGAAATCAATCTGTCAGCATCTCCTAACAGCAGCATCTCCATGGGCCACGTGGCCACAGAAGCTTAAACCACAGATGTCGGGGAAAGTGACCAGTTAATGAACTTAGAAGTCTTTATCTTCAATACCCACTTTCGTAGACATTGCAAAAATATTTTAATAAAATAGGACAACTAGGTAGGGCTAAAGCAACTATTGACCTTTTTTCTCTCCTCAGTTGTGTAGGATTTTAAAGCAGCAGCCCATAGAAAACACATAATTTATTATTACTAAAGAAATCAGTGCCTAGTAATAGCTGTCTGTGTAAATCAGATAGCTACTTATTTATTTACTTATAATATTCAAAGAATGTCAAGGAGGAGCAGGGTGGTCCAGACCCAGGGCTGACCTGTCCCTCCCCTTTGAGACTCCGCCCTCTACTGGCTCTCCATCCTGGCAAGTGGTCAGTCGGAGTCCTGGGCCAAAGCCTATGTCAATGGGAGTCAGCAATTTCTTCTAGAAGAATCCTCCCTCTATTGCAATAACAAAGTAGTTCCAGGAGGGAGCTGGGAACCTCCAGAAGAGCCCCTAGGATGCTTCACTGCACCAGGGAGTCTGCTATTTTTAACTCTATCTTTCTTCTTTGCATCTCTTCATTCAACATGAGAAAAAACATTCAACAGAGACTGGATGGAAACGACAAAATCAACAGTAGTAACCTATCTTGTTGTGGGTGATTGATGTTCATGTCTCCTTGGTATCTCTAATATTTTCTAATTTTCTTCCACAAATATGAAAGATTTTTATCACCATACTTTTTAAAATTCAATAGGCATTAATGAGAACCTATTACCTTATGCTAAGCACAGAGACTGTAAAAATGAGCATTGCTGTCCTGTCCTTTGGAATTCTGGGTTGAATCAATGAAACAATCTCGAAATATGTGACACCAGTTTGGGATACTCCCTGCTGGGACAGAAAGGCATACAAAGTGCTGGGGAATCCAGAGTAAGGTATTCACCAAAGCAACTCCCAAAACTCCAGTTTTGGGGGAGACCTGCAGTTCGGTCACATTACATAAAGGCCCCTTCTCAACCTTTCTCAGCTAAGGAAGAGCCACTGACCTGAGTGAACAGCTTCTGCAAACCCCATGGAAGGGCAGCCGGTTTGTGGAGCTCATTCGTGCTGTTGGTAATGCCAAGGAGCAGAAACGTGTTCCTCTATACTCTTATGTTCGGTATTGAAGGCCTGTAAATTAAACTGACAAAAAACAGATTAGTATGAGGGGGGAAAACAGATGTAATTACCTATCTATACATGGGAGTTCACAAAAAATGCTACTCAAGGAGGGACTTATACATCATCTAAACAGGGTATGGGGAGAAACAGAGGGGTCCTTCTGGCGGAACAAAAGACTTTTTGGAAAGATAAATAAGTCCTTAGGAGAACAAATGGGAGACAGGATTGTTTGTGACAATGTCTGTTTCAGAAGAGAAGATTAGAGTTGCACCCTGGGAAAGAATTTATGACGATTTCTTTTAAGAGGCTCTGCATTTGGGAAAATAGGGATTTTAGGAATTCAGATGCCTTCAGCTCAGAGTAATTTTTATGCCACGTGGTTATTCTGGACCCTTCAGTGAGAGAGAAACAGCAGGGCCGTTGGGACCAGACACAACTGGCTTCAACCCCAGACATGTCACATACTGGCTCTGTGGCTTTAGGTAAGTCACTTCGATTCTTTAAGCATTAAGCAGGAATAAGACTTTCACTGAAGATTTAGAAGTAATGTACTTACAAAGTACTGCTACAAAGGCAAATGGCAGATATGAATATCATCATTTTGATCATCATTGTTATTTCAAGGTATAATCCCTCTCTCAGAGAGCTTGCCATCTGGTTAAGAGGGGAAGATTTATTCAAGTAAAAAGATGCTTTTCAAGACAATGCAATCTGAAGAGCAAACGGGTGATCCGGGCTGCAAAGGTTGTGGGGTTCAGAGGAAGCCCCTGGGCTGGTCAGTCCTGCAGATGGTCAGCTCAGCAATCCCTCACCTTGCACACGGGATACTCACTGTTACCCTGCCCTCCAGGCTTGCCCATGGGGTCTTGCTCTGTGAGTTTCTCACTGAAAATACCTGGCACAGAGCACACGCCTGCTTCTTTACAGCTTATATACTGGCTCTCTGGACCCACAAAGACAGAGGCTCTTTCCTTTGCTTACAGCTCTCCATCCAGGGACCATCTGACTTCTGGGAAGTGACAGCCATATTATGATCAGTCTCTTAGCAAACAAATATGGATTCTTAATTCTAAAACCAATTTCCAAATGCATTCTGGAAGGGCAGGCAGAAATGAAGCCCGCTTCGCGGAGTTAACATTGCAGCCTTCCCACTGATGGCAGGAGCCAGGGACACAGGGCCGCTAATGAGAACTGATCAGGGTGTTCTGTCTGGTGATAATAGCAAATGTAAAACAGTGAAACCTCAGCCTCCCCTTCTGGCTGCTGTCAGATTTGTCTAATAAACCTGCACACACACCAATATAGATCTGTAAAATTCAATTCCCCGGAGAATCTGACCAAGTCAGTGCCCACTCTCTTGTTTTTAATAATAATATTTTCCATTTAATCTTGCTCAGAATTTTTGGAGGTTTTGTCCATTCCAAACTCAAAGGAAAAAAAATTAGCATTTAGATAGGATTGCACCAGCATTAAAATCAATTGAAATGAAAACAGGGATCATGGAGGGTTGAGATGCCTGGAGTACTTTTGTCCATAGGATGATTCTGATGTGACACGCAGGGTGCCCAGGAATCCCCCCCCCCATGTCAGTGACAGTCAGTACTCATCTGTCCCCCGTGCCTCATTCCCTCACATCTTCCGTCCGAGTCTCATGAGGATCACATTTCTTATAACGGAGGCAGCTCCAAGCGTGCCCGTTGTTCTGCAGGAATAATCGATAAAAATGAGACACTAGGCATATGGTCCTTTCTGTCCAGGACATAGGAACATGGAATGCCTCTCGCTTGTCCCATAGATTTGAAATACTCTCTCTAGATTCTTTGCCCCATCCTGACCTCCACAACCATACCCACTTCACCATCACATTTCCAGACTCTTCTGTGGCCTCCCACTCTTAGACATGCGTTAACGGCCTGCACTACTGAGGCAAGCTGTGGTCCCAGAGCCGTAGGAGCCCAAGGAAACAACCTGGAAGTGACAGGCAGCAGAGCGCCCCCTACTGACCACACAGGTTCTTCAATCAGTGGTGTCTTAGAGAAAGAAGCATGAGCCCGTGTGAACAAAACAGAGCCACATCCTAATTTGCCTCAGCTTCCTGTCTGCTGCCTGTTTGGGGACAACTTCAGAATCCGTCGGCAGCATCCAGAATTTTTTTAATCTGGTCTACACTGCTTATATGTGCTGGTGGTGACATGCGCTGAGCGACGTTCAGAGTGCTTGCTGCCCTCAGAGTTCCTGATGACCCAGACTCACATTCTTCCTCCTTTTGCCTCCTCTGCTGCCTCCTGGACCCTGCAGACCACAGGAGTGAGGCCCGTTCAGTGCTAATGTCTTGTGTGTATTTGGTGTTTTCTTGTCTCACAAACCCATTTATCTAACGCCAAGCCTTCCTCCCAGTTGTTCAGCAGTATTTCCTTTCTTGATGTGCACACTGCTCTGTCCCCCTGTGCCTCTGTGTCCCTGTGCCTCGGTTTCCTGTGCCTCTGTGTCCCTGTGCCTTTGTCCCCCTGTGCCTCTGTTCTCTGTGCCTCTGTGTCCCTGTGCCTTTGTCCCCTGTGCCTCTGTGTCCCTGTGCCTCTGTGTCCCTGTGCCTCTGTTCCCTGTGCTCTGTCCCCCTGTGCTCTGTGTCTCTGTCCCCCTGTGCCTCTGTTCCCTGTGCTCTGTCCCCCTGTGTCTCTGTCCCCCTGTGCCTCTCCCCCTGTGCTCTGTCCCCCTGTGCTCTGTGTCTCTGTCCCCCTGTGCCTCTCCCCCTGTGCTCTGTCCCCCTGTGCTCTGTGTCCCTGTGTTCTGTCCCCCTGTGCTTTGTTCCCTGTGCCTCTGTCCCCCTGTGTCTCTGTTCCCTGTGCTCTGTCCCCCTGTGCCTCTGTGCCTCTGTGTCTCTGTCCCCCTGTGCCTCTCCCCCTGTGCTTTGTTCCCTGTGCCTCTGTGTCCACTCCCACTCAGCTACCTCCTCCACCTCCCATTTTTATTCCAACCTGTCTGTCCCTGACTCCTTTGCATTTCTCCACCTGGCAGCATAACCTTTGACTCTTTCTCCCACAGGAAGATGATCTGAATGGGATCCACATAGTGGCCTTTGCAGAGAAGAGTGACCCAGGTAGGAACCCTCCCCACCGCCCCCAGCTCCCACCTGCTCTTCGACACCTTAAGCAAGGACTGGCTTCTCACTTGGGGCAGCCCTCACCTTTTCTCATGCCTCACTTCCTGCCTACAAGGCCGCAGAAAGACACCGGGCACCCCCTGGTGGTCACCTGCTGGGTACAGAACCATTTCAGTGGCACACACAGCTCACACGCATGGGAGATCAGAGCCTCGTGCTGCTTGGTTGCCCAAGTGGGGGCTGAATAGAAAACAGCCTGTCTTTGCAGGGCGAGTGTGTGCGTGTGCGTGTGTGCGTGTGCGTGTGCGTGTAAACTGTTCACATTAAAAGTGTATGTACCTAGTCTATATAAATAACAAGCTTACCTTAAATAACAATAAATGTACCCTTTGGTCTGTCAAATATGGTCTGTGCTTAGGAGGCTTCATGGAAAATATTTCCCCAAGTAATGAGAACTGGGACAAAGAGGCAGCCGATTTCTCAAGTGTAAAGCGACCCTATAAATGGATGAGGGACTTTGCTTTACTTTGGAACTTGGACAACTTTTTCCTGGTTTCACTCTTGGTAACATGAGTGGAGAGGAAATTCAGGGACATTAATTTTGCAGGTGGTACAATGCTGGGTCCCGGGAGACAAAGGGTCCCCGAAGGGAAGGTGTGCATGGAGATTCTGAGGTGTGTTTGGGGAGACCTGGAACAATCCAGAATGCAACAGAGAAGGCAAGGGACTTGATTCTGATGGCTAAGCAGCCGGGTCTTGGGCTCTGAGGGCCCTAAGCAGGGCTTCCAAAGCCTGACAGAGCAGAGAACAACAGGCACCTCAGGCTGACTGAAATGGAACCTTCAGGAACCTGCCACTTCATGGTGCTCTGAGGCAAGTTCAGAGGCGCAGTCGGGTTCGGGAACCATCACTCCGGGTAGCGAGAAACTCTGTAGTATTTGCCTGGGACCTAGATCTCTTGTACATTCACAGGACAGACGAGGAGATAGAGGCTTCGAGGAGAAGGGGAGCTGCCCAAGAGGGCCCAGGGAGGGGGAGGGACTTCCGGAGCAGGAACAGATGGTTTCCACCTGGACACAGTAGGTGCTCAATAAATACCCGTCAGGCAGATGACTGACCAAGACCGAGCCCCAACTCTTCACTGTTAGACCACCTTTTTTTTGGTAATACATTATCAACTGCCATAGTTTCCTACAGACTAAAACCCCAACTGTTTTTTACTGTATAATTAAAAAAATTGAGATACAATCTACAAACCGTAATATTCACCTTTTAAAGTTGCATGCCATGGTTTTTAGTACATAAACAAAGGTGTACAAACATCATCACTGTCTAATTCCAGAACATGTCATCACTTCAAAAAGAAATTCCACACATGTTAGTAGTCCCTCCCTCTCCCCTCCCCTGCCCCTGGCAACCACTAATCTGATTTCCGTCTGTGATTCTGCTGCCTATCTGGACGTTTACATGGAATTATGTAATAGAGGGCCTTTTGGGGCCTGGCATCTTTCACTTAGCATAACGTTTTCAAGGTTCATCCTTTATGTGGCATGTATCTGTACTTTGTTCCCTTTTAGGGCTAAATAATATTCCTTTCCATCACAACCAAATCTGTGCTCCAAATTATCTAGCAACTTCCTCCTCCAACCCACTATTTTTATTAGAATTTTTGAATGTCCATTAATGCCCTAGTTTCCCCATCATTGATTTGCAGATTTGGAAAAACTCTGCAAAGATATCTAGTCCTTGCCCCCCCCCCCCCAAAAAAAACCCCAAAACATTCCAGTGAGGTTCCAGCCTCTTTGTACAGATTCAGGCCACCTCTCTGCCCCCGAGGAGAAAACAGCAAAGGAGGCCAAGCGCCTGAGGCGGACGAGCTACCATGGAACAGAGTCAGATCCCTGGTGTTGTGTGAACAGAGACGCCATCGCCATGGGCAGCAGCCTGCTGGCCAGACTCCAGGGGGCCTTGCTCCTGGCCCTCCCTGCCGCAGACCCCCTCCCCGTGGGGAGGCCTATCTGGCTGTTGGGAACAATGGAACAAAGAGGCCTCGGAGAAGCTGCAGGAACCTGTTTGACCGAGATCACCGCAGTGAATAAGTCCTGAAACTAGCTCCACCCCCTCCCTGCACAAATAGCCCTGGGCTGAAGCCCTGCCTTCCCAAGCTGGGGCTTGTTCCCGGGAATCTGGGAGCAGTGCACCGGGCTGGGGGTGGGGGAGTTCCACGCACCTTTTCTCAGCAGGGGAGGGCCTGGTCTGCTCAGGGCTGAGAAAGGGAAAGGCTTTCTGTGAAAGTGCCCGGCTCAGGTTGTGTGGTCATAACCTGCAGGTCACTGAGTGTGACCGAGGGGCGGAGGGTCCTGGCTGCGCTAGGGATTTTATTCCTATCTGGACAGCAGGTCCTCCTATACCTTTCCTCTTGCTAAAAGAGGGACACGTGGCCTACCCCAGCCAAGGCCCTGCCCATCCCCCCGAAGAAAGGTCATACGTTCAGGAACGTTAACAACACAGCTCTCCGTAAAGAGCAGAGAGCCCGAGGAGGTGCGCTATATGGAGATCATCCCATCTGGTCCTGAAAGCCACTCTGTGACATACACATGACTGTGAAGAAGGCGATGATGACGATCACTTATTGTGTGCGTACGTGACATGACAACCTCGTGTGGGAGGCGCTCGTTTTATTCCCATTTTACAGCAGAGGAGGCTGAGGCCGGAGAGGTTGACTGGCTGGGAAACAGTGGAGCTGGAATTAAGCTGAGGGGTGTCTGGCTTCCCAGCCACGCCCTTGGTGGCAAGGCCCTCTGTAGACTTGTCCATCCCTCAGAGTTACTCCCCCGATGTCATCCAAGTGACCATCAGCCCTCCCTCCTGCCGTCCTTCACCGCCCCTCTACCTGCAGCATCAGAAAGACCCAGAGCGTCCAATGCACACTCTAGATACACAGGTAGAGGCACAGCGGACGCACAAGCTTAGGTTTCTGGGTGGCTCCTCTGGACACTGGCCACCAGACCACACTGCCTGCCGCAGGCTGCCCAAGCCCACTGCAGGCTCTGAGCATGCGCAATGCTGCTGCAGCCTAACTGGGAGAGGAAGAGGGTGCGACGGAGCAGGAGAAAGAGAGGGGAATGAGAAGAGAGCCTAATTATGAAGAAAAGTCAAACTTCCTCCTCACTGTCCACTGGTGTTCCCAGACTTGGGATCTACACTTACACCCCAGCAACAACAAGCGTCATCCAAGTGACCGGGGTCCCCCAAGGCTTACAGACCATGTCTGTTCTGCTGGCCCTGGAGCCCTGGCCCTTCTGCAGTGAGCTCTCATCCGCCGCCGGGCCAGGCGGGGGAGGCCGTGCCGGGCTCTCTGCTCCTGCCAGGGCCCCGCGTGCTGCTCGGCTTCCTCTCCAGAGCCTCCTCTCGGCGTCTGTGCTCAGAATGTCCCCGAACTGCTGTTTGACAGGTTTGAAAATGAACGTCTCTCCTCTCCCACCCCCGGATGAGTCTGCATCAGGCTGACATCTTCATAACACTTGAAAGGTTCGCACAGGGGCATTTCTACATGAGCGCATGCTGGATGGATATCCTCCGAGGGCGCCGGGAATATCAGCACTAACAAGCTGGGAGGCAGGACAGGCTGCTGTCTGCTCGTGTGGGACAACCAGTGACGGGCCAGACGGCGGTCTCCGTGCCCCGTTCCAACGGAACGCCAGCCGCCTTGGGTTCTGGTCAAATGGTTTGGAGGCCAGTTGTCTCATATAGAAGTTTAAATGTGGTTTATCAAAGTTAACATTTGGTTTTTGTTAAGTGCTAAACGGTGTTCCAAGCACTTAGCAAATATCTGCACATTTAGTCTTCACAACGACCCTATGTGGTGGGTACTGTCGTTATCATCTTCCTCCATACACCGGCAGGAGTTAGATAGCGTCCTCAGGTCACATGGCTAATAAAGGGTAGAACTGGGATTCCAACCCGGGTAGTCCAGCCCCAAGCCTGGGGTCTGTAACCATCACCTTCTGCTGCTCTCCATCGCAAACCTCATCATTTCGCTTGTCCACTGATTCTGGGTCCCAAGGACCAGCAGAAGACATCAGAGAAGGAGGACTGTGGTAGGGAGTTGAGGGTGTTCAGATGTCTCAAGTGCCATCTCAGGACCGTGGGGCCCACACCACGTTCTAACAGGTGACGTGATTCTGCCGTGTCAGGGGAGCTCCGTCCTTGTCTGTCCTTCTAAGGCTCCCCAAAGGGCCGGGTTCAGGTGACGCGATGCTGCTTTCTGAGGGTTCCACGCTCACTGGGTGGGCTCCAGCCTGAGGACAGTCACCTGCCTGGACACCTTCGTGTCCCAGCACCTGGCCCTAGGCCAGATATGTTGTGTGCGCTCAAAATATACCTTTCCGAAGACTAAATGAGTTCTTCCCATCAATGAAAGATGAAAGTAGTGAAAAAAAATGAATAAAAGGTTGATGGGTCAGGGAAGGAAGAAAGAAGACAGAAAAATCTCTCCAGTCTGGTCTGCAAGTGCTCACGTGAGAACAATAGCAGCATTATCATCAAGGAGCCTGAGGTAAGGAGGCAGCTGTTTCTTCGTTGCAGATGAGGAAACGGAAGTCCCAGACAGGTTAAGACCCCTGTGCAGGGTCATCAAACAGCAGACACACTCTCCCAGCCGTGTGGTGCCCACCCCACCTGCGTATCTGCGTCACCTGCCACATGCGCCCTAGCAGCCTGGCTCCCCAAGTCCAGGCCTCTCTTCATGAACAAGACCCCGAGTCCCATAACCACGTGGCGTGGCATTGGGGAGGGTCCTTTATGGTGAGCACAGCTAGCTGCCCAAGGATGGGGTCACAAGGACAAGGGCAGGGTGGACAGCGCACTGTGGGCATGCTACTCCTGGGCCATTACTTTGTCTCAGACACGCGTCTCTGCCGAATGGAGCCCTGGCTGCTGACATGGCTGCGACTGGCCTGGAGCTGGTCCGAGGGCCTGGCACAGTCTCCTTCCCACAGCCGCTCGCCACCTGGGAAGGAGGAGCGCATAATCACCGGTTCCCTTCCCACGGAGCTGTGATTCCCTGAGGTCTTGCACTCGCCGTGGGAAACCTGGCTCAACCGGAACCCTCAGCCCCGGGTCATGGGAGCGCAGGGTCCACGCCATGTGGCAGGGAAGCAGTCTCGGTTCTCACAGAGCAGGCCCCTCTTCTTAATTTAGCTCCATCTCGGGACTCCAGGCGCATCAGGGACACGGCGAGTGAACCAGCCAGACAAGCTGAGGCTGTGGGAGGATGGGGCTCGGCCACAGAGCAGGAGGGGAAGGGACAGTCTGGCTGCTCCGGCGGAAGCAGAGTCCCCGCACGCCCCATGTGCACCCCTGGACGTCTCCTCCACCCCAGCCCCGGATCCCTCACGGATGCGTTCACACTCCGCGGGCATCTCAGGCACCAGCCTGAGGAAGGAAGCTGGCAGCTGCCTTGCAGGAGTGCCCAGGCCCCAGCGGGACAACAGACTGTGGAAAGGGCTCTGGCCGTGCAGATCAAAGACCTGCGTGAGCATCCTGGCTCTGCCACTTGCTGGCACACGGCACTGGGCAGTGCTCTCCCTGTTGTCTCAATCCCCTCCTCTTCAAGATGGAGATGGAATCCTCCTAACCTCCGCCCAACCTACATGCGAAGACTAAATGCAAAAGTATTCAGTACCCAGTAGGTCCTCAATACTCATAAAGTAACAGATTGGGCGGCTTAATGACTTGAAGACAAAGGCTTAACCTGTGCTCTAGCCCCCACGAGGCGCAGCCACCCCAGAAGCCTTCAGGAGCAGCACCATGTCGTTCTGCCTCGTGGTGCAACTTCCCGTGAGCGTGTCTTCTCTGCTGTGTGGGCCAAGACTGTGTGCACTGAATGTATACTCATGGATCGAGCAGGTGAATGGCCAGGCTCCCTGTATCCAGGTGGAAGAATTAAGATCCTTTAAAAATAATGGCTCAGGCTTATTGTGTGCCAGACACTGTCTCGGTGCCTTAGAAATGCTAACTCACTTAACCCACAACAGCCCTGTGAAATAGGTACCATTATTATCATCACCCCCATTATACAGACAAGGAACGAAGGTGTGGAACAACCTCCTCTAAGTCACATTCTACATGCAGACCAGTCTTCCGACCGCGGTCGTTTCGGCCTTGCGCTGGTCTCCCTCCCGCCTGTCCTTGAACATTCCCGGGGATGCAGAGGGACTAGGCCGTCGCAGAACTCACATCCCGAGAGTCGGAAGGCTGCCCTCGGTTCTGGATGGAACCCCTCCGGCTTTATTTATTAATTTACTCTGTGCGTGTTTCTATTTTTTAGCTTTCTTTGCATCTCTGTAGACCCCAAACCTTTTGTATTCTTAAAAATAGTCAGCCCCAAATCTAACATCTCTTGTTTCAGGTAAAAACTCCAATCCACTTGATTTTTCTTGCAGAAATCAAGATGTATTCCTTCAATATTTTTTGAAATCTCTAGACCTGCTGGAGAATGTAGACTAGGAAAGGCTCTTTCGTGAGGGATTTTTAAAATTAATCCCCCCATTATGGGTTTTCTCCATCAGAAAACTACAGCGCCATCGCGTGTGTGTTCAGCGTCCGTTCTGACCGCGATCTAACCCTCCGCAACACTTGCGCCTACACAGCCTCTCCCTGCCCTTTCTGTGAGTTAGCCTCTCGCGCCTCGGGTGCACTTTCCACTTGAATTTGGGTCTGTGTTGTTGAATTTCATCCTCTTTGTGAATTTCCTATTTGTCCAGACCCCTGGCAATGTCACCTCCTTTATCATCAACCCTTTCTTCTCAGCTGCTGGAAGTAGTCACTGCAGGTGTTTGGGAGGAATTCCCCCTTGTGGTCTGTGGATGCTGATCCATAAATCCACAAACAACCCAGCTGGCACCATAATCCCTGACCTGTGACACACAACGCGCCCAGAAGGGTAGGATCCATAGTGTGCAGAGGGCAGCAGCCAGGGCCCTCTGGAGAGCAAGAGGAAGAACCTCACCCCGCCTCCACCCCACCCGCAGAATGGTAGATAATGAACTCTAGCACACGGCCCTATGGTCTCCGCCTCTGTCATGGAGGAGGGGCTGCAGGCCTCTTCTCTACCAACTGGAGCTCTGCTTTCCAGGCAACAAGGCCTGAGGGGGCCCAGTCTGAAGCTTAGGAATTAACAACACTGAGAGTGACTCCCCCACTCAGCAGAGCTGCTAAGAACAGTATGCATTTCCCCTGGAATGCATTAGAAAATGAGGAAGTGTTGAGAAAAACCTTTACCAAGAGGCCCCAAATAGCCAAACAAAGGCTGGAGTGCCTGGAGAGAGGAGAGGCTTGTTAAACAGACCGCAGAGCGGGGCTCAGATTGGCTGGGGCCCTCCACAAAAGAAGAAAACCCTGATACGGAAGGGGCGGTTGCCATACTGAATTCCTGAGCAGCTGGTGAATGGCTTTTATAGAAGGTATACGTTTCAGGCCACAAATCCAGCTGTGCAAGAAACATAACTTTATAGCCTAGAACTGAACCCAAATTTCACCACTGGCTGACAATTAATGGTCCCCCACCCTGCTCACCATCCCTAGGGGTCCAGTGTCCTGCTGGTTCCCAGGCATAGGCGGGGGAAGTGTCATTGTCATCATCACCTCTTCACAGTGGCATCCGCAGAGAAGTCACTTTGGCCTCTAGCTTTGTTCCAAGGTCACCAGTGGTTCCCTCCATCCGGCTGCTGGAACCGGCTCCGCTCGGCTTTGTTCATGATCCTCAGAACCAGAGGGTGGGCCTCCTGACTCCCCTGCCTGGTGCTCCTGCACACGGGGATCCCCAAGAGATTCTGGGTGTTCCCATTTTCCTCAGTTGTATTCCAGAACAAAGCATGGATGCCCTTTATTCTAGAATTCCCTGTAATAGTGGCATTTCTGGATGTGGACACCTAGGTACACATGGGCCTGTGTTCGTGCACACAGACATGTACGCACATACACACATAACAGGCTTATTCGTAGGGACTTTCCAGAATCTAAACTCTGTTTCTAGCTGGGAGTGGGACTGGGTTGCCGAGGCTTTCTCTTACTAAACATTCTTCCAAAATATTTGTTTATGGCATAAATTTTATGTTGTTCCCAGTCCTAGATGATTTAAGCTTTTAAAGTAAAACAAAAAGAAACAAAACTGTGTTCTTGAAACTCAAAAGGCTCATCTCTGCTTTTCTTATGAATCATCCCTCCCTGGGGGCAATGCAAGCTGCTGACTGGGGGGGATGCAAGCTGCTGACTGGGGGGGGCGGGCAGAGCACACAGGGAAGCGTGAGGGAGTGAGGGACACCCCTTTACTTCCCAAAACTATGAAACCAACTGTCAGTCAGAAGCTCACTTCACTGGAAGGTCTTAGGAATTCCAGGCTGTAGAGAACGGAGGGTCCAGGCTACGTGCTCCTGGTCCCAAGAGCACATGATGGGGACGCTGAGGGACAGCGAGCTGCTTGTTTCGAGGGAGGGCGCAGAGCCCTGAGGACCAGGGGTCCCTCTGTTGGAGACCGAACTTTCCGGAGGCCACGCTTCTCATGCAGATGAGCCATCGGAGCTTGGCTTCGAGTTACAAACCAGCCACTTCCCTGTGCTCTTTTCATTTCTTTACTCAAAAATTTTATTGTTTCCTTTGAGTAAGCTGCTTGTGGCTGGAGTTCTCATCTGACTCATTTTATAGAATAATCCTGTAATTGAGGGTACGCACCAAATGGCTCAAGCAAGCCTCGTGGAGAAATCGCAGTCTGCTCTCCATGTTGCAAGCCATGTGCATGGGGGTCACTCAGCCTTCTCGACTCCTGCTTCAGATGGCTACGAGTTCCTGGAGACCCTGAAACAGGTGGCCCGGGACAACACCGACAACCCGGACCTGAGCATCGTCTGGATCGACCCGGACGACTTTCCTCTGGTGAGTGGCTCAGACCGGGGCCCCACCCTGGGTCCCTCCACAGCCCCGTTCCTGTATGTGTGAGGCCCTGTCACATGAAGGACAGTGGGAAACAGGAGGGGAACTGGCAGGAGCTGTGGCCGCCCGCATCCAGCGGGGAAATCTTGGCCACCGGAGCAACACTGACCTCGGGGCCTGGCGCTGACCCTGCTGTGGTCGGACTCACGGCTCTCACTCCCTGGGGACCGGAAGTCCCTCTGGGTGAGACTCCTGCCAGCACAGCTCCTCCATCGCCGCCCGTCATCTTGTCACCACCCCGGCCACAGCCTCTTTCATTCTCTGGGTGGGGACTGGCGGTCTGAGGCAACCTGACGTAGTAAGTGACGAAAACCACCCATGAACTTTTTGCATAGAGTTCAGGACTTCATGGAAGAAGAAGCAACCTCTTGGAGGGCAGGGACCCTGCCTGTCTTCACCAGCTCTCCCGGGTCCTCGCATAATGTCCAGCCCTGGCCCGAAATGTGTAAGAGCCTTAAAGTCCAAACTCTTCCTAGTGTCAGCGACCAATGATCAGAAAGTCTTGATATGCTTGGTTTAAAGAAAAGAAGCAGAATTTGTACACCACAGAAGCCCGGTGGCAGTGATAACGAATGTGGCCGCTATTCTGCGCTGCATGCCTGGAGCTGCGGTGAACTCCACAGGCATCATCCCTTCTAACCCTCTCAGCAACCCCTGGAGCCGGCACTGTGATCCCCGTGTCACAGATGAGAGGGGTGACAGCTGGAGAGGTTGGAACAGTAGGTGGCAGATGTGATATTTCAACCCAGGTCTGCGTGATGCCAAAGCTTTGTCTGTCGGTCAACAGGCTTTGGGCTGAGCTAATTGCTGGTCATCAGCACGAGTTGAATTATTATTAGGTTATAAATTGTATATCTAGCTTTCCCAGGAATTATCTTTTGGCGTGTAGGTCGTGACCGGTCATACTATGGTTAAACAGACAAAACCCAGGAGTTTTAGTGCTCGCAAGGGCCCTGAAACCCAACCCCCCACACAGGCTGAGTGAATCAAAGGCAGAGACTTCCATGACGCCCGAAGTCAATGTCGTCATTTCCGGTAATATAACAAAGGCACGACCTTATAAAGCATGATATGCTATAACTTTGGTCACTGCCTGATGGTGTATCTAGTTTATCTGAACTATTTTGCTTGCCTTGCTTTTTCCAAAGGAGAAATCTTTGTTCTATTCTGATTTCCAGGTTTCTGACTATCCCCAATCCCCATCAGGACATATATTCACTTGGGAGACTTTCTACCACTGGACACCTCCATTCTTTAGCCCCATGGCCACTTACTCCTTTAGGCCTGCCCCAGTCGGAGACTAGTCCACGTGGACGCAAGCCTGGCTGAGTGAAGAGCCTCTTCTTACTGATATGCCCACTTAGGGCACATCACAGCCTTCCCAGCGATCTCGGAGGCAGAGTGGCGCAGCGTAAGGGCTTTTCAAACGGACATTGAAAGAGAGGCGGAGGAAATGTCTCCTCCACCACACAGAAACTTTAAAAGAGCCCCAAGTAATTTGGGGATCGAGTTTGGACCACCTCTGTAATATTCTGTCTCACAGCTGTAGAAGCTTCTATATTACATGTTTTCATAGTTTGCGTTATGACATCCTTCTCTTTCCATGCTTATTTAAAGGGCTTGAGGGCTGGGGCAAGTCTTCAATTTCCTAAGTGCCCACGGCTGTTAGGAAAACCTTTAACCAATGGTGACCTAGTTACTCTGATGGGCTGGCAGGTGGGCTCACCACAAAGAGTGATTTTAGCAGGGAATGCCCTCTGCCCACCGTCTAATTTTAGTTTTGTTGCCGCAGCTTGTTGCCTATTGGGAGCAGACGTTCAAGATTGACCTATTCAAGCCACAGATCGGGGTGGTGAATGTGACGGACGTGAGTATCCCCGCGAAAGCTCGCTTAGGCCCCGCGGCCGGCCCTGTGCTCTGCCGCAGCTTCACTCTGAGGTCCTGTGTGGAGTCCAGTCCCTCAAAACGAGCAGGGCCCTGGGCGCTGGCCAAGCTCAGGAAGCCTGCCAGTGTGGCCCACGCCCCGTCTCTGAGCCAGTCCCGGCCCATGGTTCCATGGTTCTCTTCCACGGGTGCATTTGCTTATGGGGCCAGCCTGGCCTGGTTCACTGTCTATTTGGAAATTTCCACCCAAACTCGCCTGTATTTTCTTCCAATGCCCTGAAACAAGGTCTCTTTGCACTGGGAACCCATGCTTGGATCTGCCATTGCCCATGGGTGATAGCCCATCACCTGGCAGCCGGGACCGCGGGCGGGAGTCGGAGGCCACAGAAAGCCAGGAGGAAGCCGTGTGGAAGACGGGCTTCTCCTCACCATCCAGGCACCACTGAACCGAGGGCGGGAACGGCCAGGGAGGTGGACTGGCCCAGCAGGAGGAATTTTAGGGCTCAGTCCAGACATCGGATGCAGCTCCACCGTAACCACACAGCAGGGGGACAGACACACCAGGCAGACAGTGGACAGCAAGGGCGGCCACAGAGGGCCCACCGGAGCCCTAACTCGCCGTGGTGGGAACTGCGCATGGGCCAGTGAGCCACGCCCTTTCTCCCTGCTGGCAGGTGCTCCGGCCGCTGGGGAATGCTGCATTTATGTATTTTGTAAACGACTTTTTATATTAATAATATAAATAATAACAATACATTTTAAAATGTACTCAGGTTGCCCTGGCCGGTTTGGCTCAGCGGTTAGAGCGTCGGCCTGCGGTCCTGAGAGACCCGGGTTCGGTTCCCGCTAGGGGCATGTACCTCGGTTGCAGTTTGTCCCCGGCCCTGGTCGGTTGTGCGGGTGGCAGCCACTAAATGTGTCCCTTTCACATCGATGTTTTTCTCTCTCTCTCTGTTCCTCTCTCTCCCTCCCACTCTACCTGAGCAAAAAAATGGAAAAATGTCCTCGGGTGAGGATAAAAAATAAATAAATAAATAAATAAAATGTACTCAGGTTAAAACATTTAAAAAGAGAACAGTAGGATATAAGGTGAAAAGCAAAAGCATTTTGCATTGCCCTGACCCCATCCCTAGCCTCATCCTGTGGCAAACCTTGGCTCTCCTACTAGACATTTAATACATGCGAAGCATATATAATACATATAAAAATGAAGACATACAAGCTGGCAGCTACAGAATAGTCCCAGGATGTGAAGCACAGCACAGGGAATAGGGTCAATAATGCTGGGATAACGGTGTGGCACTGGGTGGGTACTGGCAGTATCGGGGGGATCACTTTGTCAAGTGCATGGTCATCTGACCACTATGCTGTACACCTGAAATCAATACTAAATAATAGTAAAACAATAAAAGAAGACAAAGAACCAAATGTTACTAGTAGTATCAACTTATGAATAGCACTGACTTTCATTAATAAAGTAAGTGCAATTGTTAAAATGGAATTTATAGAGAGTTATGTAGGAATCCTGTATATAGTCAGAGGGAACAAACAATTCAAATATAATTACGACGCATAAAGATACTTAGTTTCAATGTCCCTGGGAGCTGCACCATTCCTGACTCCTTCCACACAGTATCAACCTATGTAAGGAGGGTGGCAGGTTAGGGTGGGGAGTTGCCTCTGTCAGGGCAGGGCTGGTAACCTGGAGGGACTTTACAGGTTGGGTGGCAAAGTACAAATAAGGGGTTGGTGGTGGGGGAAGTGGCATCTCTCAGGAGGAAGGGATTGGAGTAGCTGCCAGTCTCAGCGCTGGGCCTGGCCAAGTCCTCTCCTCACTCTCCACAACCCTGCCTCCCTACCTACTCCCTTCCCCTGAAATCCTTTGCACAGAGGTGTACACACACACACGTGTACACATAAACCCATGTCCTTTGATATTGCTCAGACAGCATACTGCATGTACCATTCTGTAAGCTGGCATTCCCATTGAACAATGTGCACACATTCTGATAAGTGTAAGTGACCTGGGCACCCAGCACCGCCGTTTGGATCCCCGGGGACTGGCTCACCCTCATGCCTTCGCTCACTCCCTCACTCTGTCCCTCTGCAGGCCGACAGCGTCTGGATGGAGATTCCAGACGACGACGACCTGCCGACAGCCGAGGAGCTGGAAGACTGGATTGAGGATGTGCTTTCTGGAAAGATAAACACCGAGGATGATGACAATGAAGATGACGACGACGACGATGACGACAATGATAATTCTGATGACGAGGATAATGATGACAGTGACGATGATGATGACTAGCTCCGACTGCACCTGCTGTTGATGAAAACAAGATCACAGCTTCCAAAGAGACAGCACAAGGTGGCAGCAGCAGCCCTGGCCCACGCCCAGCCAGCTCCTCTCTTCCTTCGCCAGCATCTTTCCCACTCGCTCTGTCAGGAGCTGCGCAGTTCCGTCAACGCCTTTCTACACCCAGCCGTCCTGCCCGGCAAGGACAAGCGGGGAATCGTCCATGCCAATGGCCTTGATGTCGCGGCAACGCTCCTGTTCTTTGTCCGACCTCGCGGTCACGGCCGTGCTGGAACCTGGCAGCCTGGGGGGACGCTCCCCAGCACCTCTACACACGGCTACTCGTTGCCCTTGACTAAGACAGGAACAGAACCGACAGCTTGCTAACTCACAAGCAGGGAGTGACCTTATCATCAGAGCCCAGGGAAGACACAGTTAATCCATGTAGCCCCACGCCTAGGACATCAGTTAGGATCCCTCTTATGGAAGGCTCAGCCTTGGAGACAAGCTTATAAATCAGCTCCTCCTGACTCTATTAACCTTATTATTTTAAGTGTAGACCAGACCATTATGAATGCATCCAAGCCACTGGGTGGCTGTTGAGTGGCCTTGAGGCACACCTGTCTAGATGGCACCGTTGTTTCTAGTATGCTAGGGTCCTGGGATGGGAGGGTTTGCTCTGTGAGCTTCCCTTAGGTGACACGTCTCACATATACACCTGGCAGTGGAGAGAGCGGAAAGAATGAAAGGTTTTTATTTTTTCTGATGGGTTCATGTCCCCATTTGAGTCAGCTGGCTTCTTACCCTGAGCTCGGATCGGGACACCCCTTTTCTGTCTGGTGAGCCTTCCCATTTAGAGTCAAGGTTGATTTATCCAGAGGTCAGTTAACTCTCCATTTATCAGCACGCCCAGAGCTGACGAGGACAACAATACACAAAGTTCATAGTGATATCCTGAGGCACTAAAATAAACGCCCCCAAGTGCCTTCTGAACTCTCTAAAAATTACATTGTGCTCGGTAGTTTTAGCATTAAGTGTGAATTATAATGTTCTAATTTATTTTCTCAGTCTTTTAACATGTGTAAGACACTGCAAATCCTTCAAAAATAGGGCAGTCCTTTTATGGAATGCTGGCTAGCTGTCATTAAAGTCATATTTTGAAAATATTAAGACTATCTTGAAAATCCTCTCGTGATTTTTTGTTCCTGCTCCTGTTCTCTCTGTGTGGTTCTTGGTTTCCTTTCTGGCCTCCCCTCCTCTGCCCGCCCTTTACGTGTTAGTGTTTCACAGTGTCTCAACTCGAACATTCTTCTAGGCTAGTACTGTCCATGCCCATCAGCCTGTGTGCTAAAGGCCTCCATGTCTGGGCCTCTAACCTTGACTTAGACTCATTTATTCAACTGCTCTGGACATCTTGGTTTGGGTGTTGCATAAGCACTTCAAACAATGTAACAAAACCCAAACCCAGTACCTTCTCCCCTAGTTCCCTCCCCTCTTGGTGGAGCCCCAGTTTGGATGAGTGATATCACCATTTATCCAATTGCCTGGGTGACCTGAAGGGGCCCCTTCGCTTCTGCTCCCATGGCATTTCGGGTATCCCCTGATTCACGGCACTGATCTAAATTGCCACACATATTTCCATATCTTCCCTTCCACTGCATCATAGGCAAGGACTTTATTTATCTTTGTATCCCCAGGACCAAGTAGATAGTCCTTTACTGAATTGCTGGGGGAAGAACTGATTGACCAGAACACCTAGGACTCCCTAGTGCTGCGGGCTAACAATGCGGGCAAGGCCTCCTGACTTGTTCTCTCCCCTCACAGGACAAGGCAGGCACGTCCCAAGCTGGGCTGCATTGCCATCCAGCCAGGCCCAAGCAAACCTTGAGTAACCTCTTGGGGAGGTAAGTTTTCAAAGCCATCTTTGAAGCTAATCTTTCAAACAGCCCAGGAATGTGGTTCATCATGAAAGTGGTCTGTTTCCCAGGCCAGGGAAATCTTGATCTCGGAGGACATGAGGCATGCGCAGGAAGTTTAGATCGTGTGGTGGGGCTCCGGCGTCAGAAGCCCTGAGGGTCACACGGGTATTGTCTGTAAGTAGCAGTTTAGTTACTGGTCTAAAACTTTTTAAGCTGATATTTATTGAATGTTTGGTTTTTTTCTGGAGCACTATGCTATTGCTCTACGTGAATGATCTCACTTAATCTTTACGAGGTTCTTAGACGGTCTGGTTACTGTGCCCATTTTACAGATGAGGAGACTGAGTGAGACTGAGGGCTCATGTCATTCTCCTCAGGTCACACAAACACTTTAAAAGAGTGTAAATGTAATCCAATTTTATACTTCAATCAAGGATTTAAACTACATTAAACTCTTTAAATTAAGAAATCCAAGAATTCCATTTCTTTTTCTCAGATAGTGTCCAAAGACGGACTCAAGTGCATTTCCCATAATCCTCTCTACTGGTTAGGCCAAGAGGCCCCCTCTCATTTCTTTTTGGAGGCCATAATTGATTTAAACAGTATCGGCTAAAAGTTCTGAGCCGGTGGGAGATCACATCCACAACACAAGGCCAATGTAGAGCAAATGGCTTTATTGCACGCGCCTGGGTGCAGGTGGGCTGAGCCGAGAAGGGGTCAGCCTTAAATGAGGGTTGGGGTGTCGGTTATATACCCTACTTTTAGCAGTTCCTGCTGATGTACTCTCTCTGGCCCATTGTCCACTTTGCAGTTGGACTCGTCTGGTATCTTGTCCGGCATCTGCTGGGTTATCCATTGCCTTGCGGATAATCCAGATAATCCTTATCCGGACTCAACAAGAGGCTCACAAAGGTCATGCAAGCAACACAATTTCCACAGTTTCCGCCTTTTGCAACCTTTTACCTTTACCCTCTAAAACATTACGAACCCTTTCTTGGCAATGTCAGATAATTAGAGCTGCAAGGTCATCCTATTAGGACAAAATAATTCATTGTGTTAGCAAGAGTGCACAATCATTTTCTATATGTTTCTTGACAATATCTCTCATAATGTGAAACGAACTTGACTTTTCTATAACAAGATAAGGGACTGTCCAGGTCCTGGTTTGTATAGCCTGGGAATCCCATACTGTTAATAATGTCACCAGTCAAGGGTCATTATGATCAACAGTCCCCACACACCCAGACACACACCTCCCTCAGGTGCTGGTGGGCTCTGTGGCTCTGTCCTTGAACTTGCTCCTGCTAGGTTTTCTCAACCCTGCTCAGTAATCAGAATCAGAATCATAAGCTTATCTTAGAAAACACAGACGCCTGTCACCAGCCTGAACACCATCTCAGGCTGGGGCCTGTCCATTTTATAAAGAGTCTCTGGGGACTGACCTAAACCAGGATTGGGAACCATCACTCTTCCCGTACCCTGGGTCATCTCATCCAGTCTGTGGCTTCCAGCGCCTCTGTCTCTAGCCAGGCCTCTCCTGAGCCCCTCACTCCAGTGGTCTCCCTGGGACAGCGTCATCCTGATGTCCTGTAGGCACCGAGATCAACACATCACTGAGACTCTAAAGGGGTATCTTTCAAAAGTAGTCCTCTTGCCCTGATCGGGTTGGCTCAGCAGCTGGAGTGTCGGTCTGCAGACCAAAGAGTCGTGGGTTTGATCACCAAAGTCAAGGTCACGTACTTTGGCTGCAGTTGGGTCCTCGGTCCTGGTCGGGGACGTGCAGGAGGCAACCAATCGATGTGTCTCTCTCATATCGATGTTTCTCTCTCTCTTTCTCTCTCTCTATCCCCCCCTCCCACTCTATCTGAAGATAGATGGGAAAATATCTTTGGGTGAGGATTAAAAAAAAAAAGTAGCCTTCTTTTCCTGACTGAGATCTGAACTAACTGAGAAATTCAATCAAAAAGTCGGCAGTGCCAAGTACCACCGTTACTGCAGAAGGGCAGTAATTGGTAGACTGGAGCTTAGGAAAATGGGTTTCCCAGTTTCCTGCCTCAAAGTGCAGGCCCGAAGGGGATCAGATGTGTGGAGAGGACCCAGGTCGTTGCCTCAGGGGTCAAGGATGAAAAGAGAGGAGAAAAGGCTGGACTCCCACACACTAACTTCACCCTGAGAAACACGGAACAGTGGCTGTCGCCCACTAACCAGGCACCTGTCTCCATTTCGGGACAGGAACAAGGCGGGGCGAAAGGCCAGCAGCACCGAGGGCATGGCCCTTCTCCACAGAAGCAGAGGAGCGGGGAAGAGGCCTCCCCCCCTGACAGTGTTCAAGCCAGAAGCCTCAGTGCCATTTCCTTGCGGCCCATCCCACGTCTAAAGGGGAGCAGGCTCGCCCTCCGCCCACCCACTCTGCCCGTGTAACCGGGGCTCCCATGGCCTCTCCCAGTGCCTGAGAGGCTCTGCTCCCTCCCCAACCAGCCCGCGCAGGGCCATCAGCAATCTTTCCTGAACGCTGACCTGGCGTACAACTCTTCGATGGCTCGCAAGTCCCAATAGGTGTTACAATTTATTTTATAAATACCAAGATGCCAGCAGAGCGGGCTCTGAGCGGAAAGGTTTTTGACTGCCAAAGGTAGAGTCTAGGCTGTGGGTAGCAGGCTGGCGGGGGGAGGGGGTGGGGTTTATAAAACCGAAAATCCTTGCAGTGTGGCCCCTCCCCAGGAGGAAGCAGAGTCTGAGAAGAGCTGACTCTGTGACTCACTCTGGGCCCGGGATTAGAAGCACAGGGCTAGCTGGCGCCCAGCAGCGCGGGGAGCGTCCGTCTTGGAAAGATGGTGGCCACGTGCCTCTTTTGGGATTATGGCATCCAGTTGTTACTTTAGCAGAAGTCAGCACCGCTGACAAGGAGCTAGGCGATCAGGTCCAGCTTTGTCGTGGGTAAAAGCCAATGTCCCATGCAAGGTCTCTGTGAGCTGTCTTTTGTCTGCCTTACCAGACCGTCTGCCATGGTGCCTCCCCACCACCTGCCCCCTCCACTCGGAACCCAACCCGAAGTTGGCGGGAGTTGACTGAAGGCTTAACACCTCCAAGCCTTGGCTGTTCCATCTATGAGAACACGAGTCCTTCTCCAGCTGTACCATCAAATTCCCAGCTCTCCTACCTTAAGGGTAAGGTAAGACACACTCCATACCTCTCCAGTCAAATGCCCCAGGCAAACCGGCCCTCCCCTGGAGCCCTCCCCCACTGCACCTCCCCCACTGCACCTCCCCCACTGCA